AGGTTATAATTTTGTGAGCTATATTTTTTTTTAAATTCGAGAGCATGTGGCAGTCGATGCATTACATTGATTTCTATAGTCGTGCTTCTCACGCTGTCGCAGCCATTGTTCTCGACCATAGTCCAATGTGTTGTTCATATTTTTATGGTCACTCATGTGATGCCATTCTGAATAGTTATTATAGTATTAACTTTGTTCCTCCAAAATGTTTAACCACGATAATTCAATTCCAAAGCCAGATATATATGAAGAAAATATGTACAGTAACCATGACAACATTAAACTTTCTGAGTTTTTTCATTTCTTGTATACAGAAGTATGAAAAAAATACATTCTTAAATATTTATAACTTAATTTACATTTTATCTTGAAAAAAAAATCTATTTATATGGCTGTATCCACTTTGTGTAGTTGATCATGTTGCAATACTGTATTTACTCTATTACAAGCGCATCTTCAATAGAAACGCATTTCGAACAAAAATTGGATTATTGTATACAGGAACATAAAAATGATTTATTTCCATCTTTAGATGCACCTCTATGCTTCTAATAGAACAAATGTGGGAAAGCATGAAAACTTATTTATTCTTAATAAAAATTATATAATTGACACAAAGAAACCATTCTCTTTATTTTTATAAATATTTATGAATTTCAATGGCAGTTGAATCAGCGAATAGAAACTTCATGTTTCAGTTTGAATGGTAAAATTTATGAATATTTAAGGAAAAAGAAAGGAATGGGTTAGTTGTGTTGATAGTAAAAGTGGGAAACCTGTTGAGTTGATCATTTGATATTTAAGCAAGATCTTGAATAAAAATGACTTTCGTTTATAATTCTTCTATGATTGTTATCATTGCAACTATGAAATTATAACAACACTGAAAATTAGGCGGAATGATTTTAGTCTGCTTTTGTAAATTTTTAAAATCTAATATTTTAATTTATGCAGTATGGATTTACAGTTGCAGGTCATCCTGTTACCATATGCAATAATCATGCTACTACCTTTATGCATGCATTACTGAATTGTTGAACTAATCTTGTTTTCAACATCATCGTTATGAATATTTTTTTTTTTGACAACTGTTTGTGCTTTCTGTCACAGTGAGACCTGTAAGGTGCTTAAGGTGATACCACCTGCGCCATCGGCGTGCCAAATGGCGTAAGTTCATCTACCAAGGATGGCGATGTGATTGTTCTGGACAGTGACAGCGATGACTGTGTTATTCTTGATGGTAATGATGGCAAACCCACAGCCAGGTATGTGTGAATTTCACTTGTATTCTCATTTTTCATGTGAACCAATACATTTGTGATAACGTACCGTTAAACCATATCATAACTATAAAATTGTAGTGCATTGTTGGTTAGTTTCGTCAAGTTGCACACACCAGGTACACGTTGTGATCTCCAGAGTTGTGTTCCGTTTGGTCAAAACTATCGCACAACTCGCTATGATTTGACATTGTGATATGGTCTATGTCATATTTAACTTTTAGTTGGTAATTAACTAGCAAAAAATGACAAAATTTGAAAGCAGTACAAATTATTGTTATTTTGCCAACTGACAAGTTTCATTAACTAAATCAAAAAGTACAAATATAAAGATGGGGTACCTGAACATTAAAACAACGACCTAGTGTTTTTCCAGTGTAGTTAAAGCCCTAGTTTGGTGGCCATTTTGAATTGAAAAGTGGTCAAAATACATACACTTCCACTTCTTTTAAGCCATCCACTTTTCATTTTTTGTAATTTTTTCTTTCTTTTTTTTTTTTGTAAATGTATTTATTTAAAGTAATTAAAAAAAAAAAAAAAAAAAAAAAATACATACCGGGTACATACTATTGAGGTACATTTTCGAAAAATAAGGAATAACATAATATAATTCCACATAATTTATGAGTCAAAATTGTTAGTTGCTTCCATCCTTAGGTGTCCAAATATGTTCAAAAATGTTCCATTATGGTTAATGTGACCTCTTGCTAACAGGAATAGTGATGGTAATACATATTGTTGTTTTGGGGTTTCTGTTTGACTGCTTTGGAAGCTATCTTCTTGAGGCCTTAACACGACCTTTGAACCTTATCTCAGGGTTTATAATATGTATAAAGGAAAGGTTTTGTAGGTTGGAGTTGGAAAATGTTTTGTCTGCGCCAAAATAAATATACTAGCAAAATTATGCAAAGATTTTGTTTATTATTATAATCGTAAAATTCAATTACTTTGCGATAGTAAAAAAAGTTGTTTCAAGTGCCTGACAAATAAAAATTATATTTTCCTTGTGTGCAATTAAAATAATATTTTTTTAATTTAAGGTTTAATGAGAATTTCACGCTCACTGTGATGTCTTGATGATAATTATTTCTGTGTCATGTTATGCATAAAAGTTAAACCTGAACTTAAAAGGATACAAGCTTTAATATTTTTTGAAGTGTCGCAAATTAAAAAAATACATTTTAATAAGTTTTTAAAAATGAACTGGGTGCACAAACTAATAGAGACTAAGTTTTCATGCTACTCTTTTAAGCATATTCATCTGAGAAGTTGCACACCGTCTCCGGTATTCAACTGTCGCCGATATCTTATTGGAAGTACATTATACAGGTTGTATTACTAAATTCATCTGTTATAGTATTATCAAGATGTCACAGTTAGAGGCTTTTTATCCAACGCCAAAAATAACTGAGGAATTTGGGGGTTAAGTTTTAAACACCATTAGGTGTTATTAAATTACATACAAACAATTGTTCTAGTCAATGATCTTAAGATGAGCATATGGCAAAATCAAAATTGTTATGATTGGGTTGTGATGTAGAACAGACTGTTGATCTGTTTTGACTTTCCTCCCTTCCAATTTTATATGATGGCTCTTTTAACCCACATTGCTATTGTGTCTGTCAAACATTGTATGCTTCTTCAGTGTTCAGTGTTCACAGCAAGCAGAATTCAAAACGTTGATGTATGACAGGAGAAGCAAATGGCAATACAATTTTAAAGCCAGGAAACAGAAAATGTTAATATGTAAATAAGTGATCAAGAAGAAGACAATAGAATATATATAACATAAGATAATTAATTATTGCAAGTGCCAGTGGGCAGGGAATGAGATTGTTTTTTATGATTTTTTTTTTTTCACAGTTCAAGTGCAAAGTGCAAACCTGTTCCAAACCCAGATCCGCATCTATATAAATATCAAGTTGTTCCAGTTAGTGGCAACGGCCGGGCATTCCAGGTGCCGGCTGATTTCATCAGGTAAGAATTGGAATATATTTTAAAACTAAACTGATTTGTGTAGAAATATAAAGATCCAACATGTAGTGGTATGGTAGATCTCATCTGGCAAGAATATATGATGAGGTTTGAATAATCTCAAATTTGAATAAAATAACAGGAAATAACTACTACTGTAGAATACTTTATTTTCGCTATTTTCGCTGAAGGGATGATTCCGTGAAAATAAAATCCAGCGAATATACTTTTTTCCCTATATTTCACATTAAACTCATGAAAAATCAGTGAAAATAAATTCTAAGCAAAACGCCCAATTCAGCCAAAATTAATTCCAGCAAAAATAAAGTATTCCACAGTATGTACTTCATTTTTGTGAGTGGGATCAATGTTCACCAAGTGTTGGACTGGGCAGTGTTCAATACGTGGTATTCTGTGACTGTATAAGAAAATAAATTAAGGTATTCAGTGAATATTATACCATTTGGAGTTTTTGATACAAAAATCACAGAAACAACCCAATTATTCTTGCTGTATACGTCTTCATCATTAATGATTTGTATTTACAAGCACCACACTAGTTTATATCCTGGTTTGTTCAGTTTTCTTTCCTGTTTACATTCATCAGCTGGTGGGGGATAGGGAATGGGTTTAAGGGTCAGACTCAGGTCACAGTTTAAACTGTTAGGACTGAGACGTACTAAATTTTATGTTGTGGCAAAGCATTGTTACGGTAATCATTGAATTAGTGTACATGTGTGTTGATTATGTCTTGTTTCCTGTCTACAGTCGAAAAAAGGGTCTGTACACTCGAGAGAAAAGTAAGCTCTTTCTGAAGCTGCACTGTGAGTTTGTCAAAGAATACTGGACTGTCAAGGTACGGTACATTGCTAATCGAATAGATCTGTTTCAAGACACCAATTACAACACATGTGCAAGTGGTGGGATCAACTTCTATTTTGTTCTATCATGGTTAAATCTCATAAAAATATTTCACCCTTGTAAATTTCTCTTTGTAAAACCCAAAATTCTGCAATTTTTGCAACACTAATTTTTTGGCTGTATGAATCTACTTTGATTTCTTCTACTTTCTCATCTCGATTGATTCACAAAAATTCCCTAAAACCCTCTGGTAATATGTATATTCACTATGAATCCCTGTCTTGTAATTGCAGCCTAAATTTATGAGGAAATATAACCTAGATGAGAGAAGTTTCTCAGAGTTTTTTTGTGGTGCCACGCCTGTGTTCACTACAACTCCCAACAAGAAGATCAAACGAGTGAAAACAACCAGCACTGAGAAGCGAGAAAAGAAAAAGATTCGAGAAGGCGTGGCTGATCAGGGTGGCAAGAAAAAGAAACGAAAGAAGGAAGGTAGGGTTAAGTTTAAATGGCAGGTGATCTGGTTTAGGATATTTCTCTCTCTTGGGGTGATTAAGATTTTCAGCTTTTGTAGCTGTAGCTCTCAGAACTGTTTATCTATTGATTTACAAATAACTTCTCTAAAACGTTTGGACCAATGTTGATATTGTGTTTACAATTTTTTGCTCGGATAAGTTGATCTAGATTACTTTAAAAATGCATTTATTTTGTGAGCCCGCAGAGAAAGTCGGCGAAAATCTTGTAAAGGCGATTGATATTTCACTGTGGTTCTGTAGACTGATTAATTTGTGTAATAGTATTACCAGATCACAATTAACGCAATAAGTGCTTAACACATTGTTATGCAAATCATCTGTTTATTCCGTCTGTCATGTGGAGATTGCATCATCCTCATTAGATGCTCTCAATTTATCAGGTCATCAGGTAAAAATTTTACGTTAACTTTGACATGTGAAATGTTTTCAAGGTAAAGAAAACTTGGAGAATAAGGAGAAGGCAGGAATACGTCTGACTCCAGAAGAGAAGGCAGCTTTGAAAGATCAGGTGGCTCAAGAAAAAGCAGCCCAGAGACTGGCTGCCAAGGAGCAAAAAGCTCAAGAAAGGGCCGTGGTGAGGGAGAAAATGGCTCTTGAGCGAGCCGAAATGAAAGAAAAATCGAGGAAAGAGCGAGAAGAGGAGAGAATTAAAATGAAATTGGAAAGAGACAAGGTACTGTAAAACGCTTTATTTTCTTGATGGACACATTTTTGAAATTTAACAAATCAAGAGATTTTATTATAGTGACCATTTGTTGGGCTATATAAAGAATGCTGTCAAATTACCTTATTGTGAAAATTTAATTAATGTATGTATTTGTGCATGTCGTGATAACATTGTCGCTATTTTGTCTGTACATTAAACAAATTTTGATCAACACATTTGAAGCATTAAGCTGCTGTATCGTTGTCATAAATCATTTTCGAGATTGATATCGCTTTCTAGTATTGTTTTCTCTGAACCATAGTGTATGTAAACCATCTATGAGCGCTAGTACCGTAAAAGCTCAATCAATTCGGCCACTCAAATAGTTCGACCACCTATTTTTTGCGTCATGGTTAATTTTAAAATGTATCCCTTTAGTTCGGCCATCTGTCCAGTCAGTCTATTGTTTGTATTCAATTAGTTCGCCCGGTGATGACACCGCCCGATTTTTACGTCACTCTCTCAACAAAGGTATATTTTCACACATCTATCACGTAAATACAATGTACATGTATAAGCATTTACATCCATGGTATAAGCAATCGGGATATCCGCCAGATGTGCAGTCATGGTGTCAACCATGATTGTACAAAAGACGTGTGAAATCTCTAGTACGATTGTCATTACAAATTACCCAGTACATCAGTTGTAAATAATCGCTAAGAAAATTCTCATCACGACGCCAAAAATATCGACAACGAACATATACTTTAAGTCATTGCTAGCAATCACTGACGAAACGAAGTTCCATGGTTTAGGGACAACAAAATTCAGGCCGACACTTGACTCTCGTCTTTGGAATTTCAAGCAAGTCATACAAAGTCGCAAATGTGTTACGTGAAAGCGTCATTATTATTGGACGTAGTTTTGTTTACACAGTCACGCAGCACGTCAAAATATCTTCTTTTTTTCGGTTGACCCAAATAAAATTATCTGCTGGATTGTTTTGACACAGTCGTCCCAGTTATGTTCTAAACTTCCTCTTGCAACGTTGTTCGTTTAAAAGTTGGGTGGATTTTTTGTTTTGTTTTAACTGTGGGT